TTACAGGCAACGGTGCGCTTATATGATGTTGGATAACTCGTCCGAATTAGTCCAGGACGGTTTGAAAAGCTTTGGACGAGTTGTCCTTGATGAAAGACGACTTACTGACGTATTTTGACAGAGTGGTGGAACGTCGAATGACATACAGGGGTACGTGACAAGAGAATCGTGATTCGCCGCGCCAGTGGGCGTCGCATGCGACGTCGCGCCCCCAATGACGACGACTCTAGGTCGTGTTGGTCGTGAATAGACAACATAAGACCAAAAACAACCATAAATTCTACGATATCCTACTCTACATGAAATCCGACGCCCCAATCAGAAGGGTAATGCGAATAAAGAAAACGTCGCGCCCATCGCCGCGTGCGACGGAGCGGCAGATTACGATTCTCTTGTCCGTCTTCCGACATACAGATTCCAAGGTTTCAAACGACAATTCGCATGTTTGGAAAATATAACATGCAAACTGTAGTCAACAAGTTAGAGTTGACCTGATTTTGTACGTCGGATCTTGATTCTCTTGCTGAAACGCGTCACCTTGTACAGGGCGACATTTGTCATTCAAATTGTTCCCAGATCACTTTTTAGTCTACGTCCGGGCCGATCAACAGTGTATCGGGACCTTTTTTTGAAAGATGGTTTTCATCGGGGATATCAATCACTGGCGACCACACACAGCTAGTGTGTGTAGGTGGAAGAGAAATCAAATTCCACCGCACGATGCCTTTAATAAACGAGATCATTTTTCAACCGAGATGGACGAGAAATGGATATTGCTCGGAGCTCTTCAATGCCTCTATGCATTCTCCAGCTGGAATCGTGACGATATTCAAATCGGCCTACGTAGGGGTTCTGTGAATCTCATCAAGGGAGGGAGGGGGGGTATTCTGCTTAGATATAAGTATTGATTCAAATTAGTTCAGATAATTCGAGTGAGAATTATCTACCCTCCTCTTCGGGTGAGTGCCATAGAAGTCCGTAAAAAACTAGATAGGTTGTCGACTGACGGAGAAAGTTAGGGGGGGGGGTCATCCTGACACGGCCCACGTGTCACCCATG